AATTTTCTCATTTATTTGTACAATAATTTCTTGTCAACACACAAGACAGTATGTGCACATGGACACAAACTCTTTCCAATTTGGATCAAAATTGTTTCTTTAGTACCTTCTTTTACAATCCAATCCTGAACCACTGAAGTTAATGAGAATTTGTGCTGGCCTGTAGTGACATAGCGCTTCTGCAACCTGAGCTACTTCACACAAAGGGTGATGGACTAGTGCTAACCCATCAGCATCCCCACCAGCTGATACTGGAGAAACATTAAAGATGACCTCAATCAAAAGCCCTGTTGTCCCGCCCCCCTGGCCCCTGCCATTCAGACCAGTGGCATGAGTCACACTGTCTTCCGTTATGTGGCTGCCAAAGTACAAATGGGAATACAGAATCAGTAAGAATAGGTTGGCAAAAACCTATATTTAGATGTTGGAATTTTTTCAAGTGTCCATCCCTATAGTAACTTCATACCTTTAAAAGATCCTATTGTACTCAAACCTATTTGTATATTTAATCTTCTAGTGAAATTGCTCTCCATCAAAAAGGCTGAAGAGGAACAACTAGAGAGTTCTGAAGCAGAGCCTTCAGAAGGTAAGAATACACTGGAAGGCGTTATTGTGAGTATTGCTCTTGTAATGATTTACTGTAATATGCTAAAAACGAAAAGAACTTTAAAACACTGCTCTGACATGATTTTCTAGTTGTATTCATTGGTGCCATGACTTGAACTTGAGTCTCCAGCAGCCCAGGAGAAGTGCCCTAACTAATGGGTTAACAAGTCAGTCTTTCTCTCTGGCCCAATGAATATTTATGTATACAAAGTGAAACAGCTTCAACAGGAGAGATTGAAAGAGTCCCCTCCTTTATCCCAAATACTCAATAGCCTGGTGATTAGGGGACTCTCTTGCGTTCAACTCCGTACTCTAAATCATGCAGAGAGGGGATCTTCCCTGGGTCTCCCACATTCTGATTGAGTGCACTGTGCTACAGGGCTGCCTTGGCTTACACACCCAACTCCAGGAGCAGGTTCACCCCGTGAACCCCAGGCTAATAGAGGCACCTCTCTCTTGCCCAAAAGAAGGTAGCATCTAGATCATATGTTGTCGGTTCTGCAAAGGCACACATTTGGAATAGGAGACATCAATTACAGAGTTTAACCAGAATTACATACAAGTATTTTGCACTGAACTGGACAGCAATAAATAGAAAAGGGACCTGAATTAGAGGATTCAAGTCAGTACTTGACTTCAAGAACTCACAGATTCATCTAGCTAAAAACAAAAGAACTGCTGACAAAATGATGGGCAAAGTCATGTCTAATACAAGGACAATAACTTCTCTTTTTACTGTTTGAAGGGCTATGTATATCATTGTACCAGCACAAAGGTCTTGACTTGCAGACAAGGGAATGTAATACATTAAAACTGAAAGTTCTATTTGACAGTGCTAATTCGTAACTGAATGATTCTTAGATTTTTCTTTCATTAAATATGGGTACTAGTGATACATTGCGCTATCCTGTCAAGAGATATTGGAGTGCTGCTTCAACATTTCCCATTTTGTTATGAATAAGGACAAGCACACCAACTTTTTTTTTGCTGTTAGTGACCAGGCTGTTCTGAACTGTAAATAGTCTTTGCAACTCTTTTTTCTAGAATCCAAATTTGGACCTCATTATCTCAACATTATCACTCAAGGCCCAGTCGAGGAATCACTTAGTGGAGGTATGGTATGATGAAATCATCAAAACATCTTTTCACAGTTAAAATGGCCAAATTAAAACTTAAAATAATTGTAATCATAAATTACACAAGAAAACAATACTGACTTCTCAAAATATTCTGAATGCAATTGACAAAAGTGAAATTAACAAAGAAAACTGAATTAAAGAGACTGTAATTCTACAGCTACATTGACTCCAAAATATCTACATTGACTCTAAGATAGTTGAGAACCATATCCAGATTTTATAAAAATGCTTTGCACTTATGGTAGCCCCTTTCATCCAAGGATTTCAAAGCAGTGTAAAGGGTTAAATAAGCCTCACAACACTCACAGGAAGTATGCAAGTATTATTTTCCCTATTTTAAAAATGGGGCAACTGTGGTACAAAAAGGTTATGACTTACCCAGCAAGTCAGAGAAAGGAACCGAACCAAGGTTTCCTGATACCCCGTCATGTGCTTTAAACCCTAGAACATGCGCTCACATCAAATTCTTGAAGAATTCTCTAGTCTGTATCTCTGGCATTAATTTTTTTCCTTCTATGAACAACCAAAGATTATTACCATTTTGGAACTGGGCTGGCCACGAAAGAACATATTACGCGCCTTAATCCCAAAGGTCTACGTGGGGATTTCACTGAAGTAAATAAGACTGACTTGTGTATGCAAAGGCATAATTTGGCCTTTTCGAGTCATATATTCTTTTTCTGTTTGGGCTCACTTGCAAAGTTCCTAATAATAACATAAGAATTCATGCCTTTGGCAAGGCAAACTACCATGTGTCTAAATTGTCATTTGTTTCTCCTGAATGTTTCTGAAAAATAAGCTTAACTTCCTTTGTTTCCAAGTAAAGAACATCTTAGCAAAAATATTTTTAAAGACCAAATTTAATCCAACTCATAAGGAAAGAAATGGCTCTACAACTTGCTTATTTATTATGAATTTGTATATCAGACCTAAACAGATGAAAATAAATTACTTGCTATTGGTTTTACTGTGCAATGACTGAAGTACTACTGACTGATTCTTGTCATCCTTTTACAGATCTAAGAGCAAAACCTGTGAACATTTACAAGGACCCAATTTTGAAAGACCTATCTGCAGGTAAAAGTCTACAGACAGGGAATTTTTGGCTGATTTATGCAAATAGTTTTGTTGCCCCTTTGAAAACACTTATGGCAGGAAATTAATTGGCTTTTACAAACTGTGTATGCGCTAAAAGACAATTAAATGTGTGTTAATTTGATTGCTATTGCGTAGTAGAACCTATTGCAATCAAGAAATAAAAGAGAATCCAGATGCAACTAGGTCTTAAAAAAATTAATGCAAGCAAAAAACAGACTGCACAACAACTAAAGGCCACAGTGAAATTCTGGCCCCATTGAAGTCAATGGCCCAAATCTCCAGCTAATGTAAATCAGCATAGCTCCATTGACTTAAACAAAGTTAAACCAATTTACAACAGCTGAGAATCTGGCCCTAAATTTTTACATACATTTAATTTCACAAAAGGGGGAGGGATAGCTCAGTGG